ATGGTAAAGACATTTATCAAAAGGTGTGGACTTTAAATCATGGCTTGCTTTTTGGCACGTTATACAGAATTTCTCATTGAAAAAGATCGGCCATAACATCATAACCACTGTACTATTTTGAAGAAGGGTTTGCAATTTCAGATATCCTTTTATTAAAACTAATATTACCAAGTTTGGGGAGTAAATGACTGATGCCCTTCTGACCAGTTGACCAATTTTTATATATTTTGACCACAGCAGAACACTCCACAGTTTAGCAATAGTCCAATCATCAAAATTTGACCCTCGTTAAACTAGTTCAAATCTCATTTTCCAGTTTACTCCTATTTCAAGTTTAAAAGGCCCATATTATGCTATTTTCTGATCTATGTTATAATGTTGTTTCCTCATCACAAACATACCTGGAGTTGTGTTTCATTCACATATGTTTAAAGTAACCCTGCATATTTAGGCTAAGTTCTTCTCCCAAAAAGAAAACACTCTGTTCCACCTTCAAGCATCATTTGGTAATACAGAAAGTGCTCCAGTGTGTTTTTAAACACCTTACATTGCACACCTTCACTTGAATCATTTGGATGATTTCCACTCTGAAACTGCCACTCTCTTCTGAACAAAAGGTAAAAGGTAGTTGTTAACTTGAAAACTACAGCTCCATGACATCACAGAGCATTTTGAGCTTTGGAGATCTTTACAGACTAATAATAAAGGGTTATTCAAAGTGTGAATGAAGCAACAACATTTTAACATGGCTTAAAGCTCACAAGAGTCAATTTCGCATAATGTAGAAGCCAGGAGAAAAAGTTCACTCATGGAATGCTCTGAAAGTATTTTGATGGAAATTTCAGAAAAGTGGCAATGGCTGCTTGGGTGTGGTACTCTCGATGTTATCAGTAAATTGCCAGTGAATCACAAAGTAATGCAAAGGTAACAATTAGCCAGGATCCATCTGGAGAGCATTAGTTTAACAGGGACTCATAAAGCTGCCAGCTCTGACCCAACGCCCCACAGGACAAAAGGTGTGACCCAGTGGGATTATGCACACCTGTAAATACTCACCTGACTGATTTCAATCTTTCACCAAAATATTTTTTAGAATAAGGTGCAATGACAAGGCAGTGTTAGTTATGTAAGGAGAGAAGGCCCAAATCTTTACTGGAAATCCATTTTGATTGAATTTGCAGGCGCTGAAGTGCACAGCTACACTGTCAGGACGGAAAAACAGCATCTACGGCCAAAATACTTGCTCTCTTTTCTTTCTACTTCCCCTGTTAAAGCTGAGGTCCATCCACAGCACAGAAAAGAGGGGAGCTTTCTTTCAACCAAATCGGTCATATGAACTTATCACAAAAGCATATGGGGGATTAACGACGCACGCTATACTGAAAAATGGAATCTAATATGTTCTTAATAATAAAAGCTGAAACTAAGAAATCAGTTATTCCTTTAAACTCTTTGAGGAGAGCAAAACATATAAAGCTTTTTTCTGGAGAGCACAGGATAAGTTCAACTTTGAAGGAGGAATAATGTGTTTAGTAATACTTTCTAAACTTTGTAAATAATTTAGAAATAGTAACTAGTATACTAAGTAGTGAAAGTGGAAGATTGCAAAAAGTTGAAGTTTTAACTTGCTGTGCATTTATATATCACAAATTGTATTAGTGGTTGGTAGTTGGCTTAAACTTATAAGTGAATAATTATCCTACTAGGCTTATTGGTCAACATGATGCTAAATACTACACTAAAGTTCTAAAGTTAGGCCAGACTGAATGATTTCTTCTTCTAGTTTCATGAAAAGCACCCAATGGTCCAGATGTTGTCCACAGAGTAATATATCAGCTCTGACAACTCACTCATTGCGAAGGCTGTACCCTCGTCTACGTCATGTGGGCTGTTTGATGCTCAGTTTGTCCCTGTAATTTAAAAACATTGCATGGAGGCGCATTGCAGAAGGAGATAATGAAAGAAATGAATGAGAGGAGAGAAACAGCCACATGTAAACGGCTGCAGGCTACCAGAGAGGCACACGCCACATGTGCAAACACAGACGGTCTGAGACTTTGTGTATCTATGTTTATGTGATTTTTTTGTTTAGTTTTAACATTTTTGCAGAATTGGGATGTTGTAAAATGACAAAAATGACTGGGAATTGAACCAAACCCTAAAGCAACAGTTGTTCATAAAATGACTCAGATGCCTCTTTTGAATAAATTCCTTTGGATTAGAAGACCTTTGAACAATTCTGTTTCTTTTAAGACAGTGTCTCGTGTTAAACGCACACATTAATTTACATTTATTATTTAAAGACAGAGATGTGACATTGATTATGTGCTAACAATCACTAATTACTCACAACTCTTTAGCTTGCTTTGTCTTGACATAACTTGCTCAAGGACACAATGACACTTTATGAACTCTGGCTGACACACTCTGCTCCGATTTGACCAAGCCTTCTTTCTTGTTTCAACATAGTTCCAACTGAAAGATTTTTACTATTTTATATCATTTGTTAAAGGTACACTGTGTAAGTTTTTGGTTGGGTGTTTGTTACCTGCTTGTTTCTATGGAGATCTCATTGCGCTGCCTGGAATGTTCCACAGTATGACATTAAACAGCTTTACTTTACATTTATTCAGTTACAGGTGGTTTTATAGCCCTGAAATACCTAGAAAAACAGGCAATCTGATGGTGGCATCACCTCTCCACAGATCTGACCTGTAAACTGGTTTGGTTTGGTCTTCGTGAAGATGGAAAGGTTTAATGCCATATTTGTGAAACATTCCAGTCAAAGAAACATCTCCATGGACAAAAGCATTTTACAAGGCCCTCCACCAGAAAAGTTACACAATGCACCTTTACATTACATCAAACTTCAACCCTCTATTCTGATTGATGGATGCATATTTTCCTACCTTTTTCAAATGAGTTTTCCATTGCAATCAGATGGGGCTATCCAACTAAATACAGCAAAATAATTAAAAGTGTGCTATACTAAATGCAGTCTGTATGTAGCGACATGTAACTAAATCTCTTCTAAAGAGCGAGTGATGAGAGGCTGGTTTGGGCAAGGTCGGAGGTCAAGCATGTGTGGGATGCAAAGTCAACACAGCGGTATTTAAAACCTGATATTCTCTGAAATGGCACTATTTATACCAAATTACAGCATGCACCTCGAGTTGCTTCATGCCCTGCTGGTTTTACTGTTGCTCGAAGCATTGATTTGCAAACTTCACCAATCATCGCACGAGTAAGTAAAGCCTTGACTGTGTTTTCAATGGAGTGAAATTATAGGCCTCTCTATATGATTACCCCGTGTATGTGAGTATGTCATTCATCTCTGAGCCTCTGGGCTAAAGACCGCTAATTGAAACGACATGTTGAGGAGATGACAACAGCTGCTAATGTGGCTGCACTTGAAGAGCCATTCACCACTGGGACTGCTTGAGTCTAGGGCGAATTGTTGTCAATGTTATGAACAGAGAAAGGTGTATGGATTTACAAAATTAGAAGATGCTTAGAAAGTGTGGAAAAAATAACAGTAAAATCTCAACTTTTTTCCATTTTTATTTTCCATCCATTTAACTAATTTTATAATGATAGATGTGATTACATTAAGTGCCCTGAGATAGACCATTATTATTTCACATATGTCTCTGTCACAAGCAATAAGTGCTCTGCCATTGGACAAAAAGGAAAATATTCAGTATCTTGGACCATAATGCTAACTTCAAAGTGTGATCGGTTGTTTGGGGTTTAATTGTGTATGAAGGAACGTTAAATCATTCTCATTAAGAAAATTGCCACAGACTTTCTTGATGTGGTGACAGTATTATTAAAAAATATTTTGATAGTAGCTGGCTTTGTTATTTAATGGTGTATTATATTTTATTATTATTAGAAAATGTACTTACTTACTTTCCACATCGGGTGGTGGTAAGCAAGCCAAGTGCTTGTAGCCACATTTGCCCTAGGGCTGAATAACAGAGAAGTGATCCTGTACAAAAAAATAACTTCAGACCACTACCAATTATTCACTTTCACTCATTAATATTTTGATGAATCTACACCTATAGAGGGATTTGAACTACCAACCTCATGAACACATAGTTGAAACAAATATGGCATTGGACCCTTTCAGTTGAAGCTTGACTCAGAGCTCATTTAAATAGATGATTAACTCCTAAAATAGATGCCACTGGAGACACTAAGTCAAATAGCTAGAGTTTAGTCTTAAAAGAGGACGTTGTGTAGCCATGTCTCCCCCACATACCACACAAGGACACCTGCGTAACACCTCCATAAGACTTCATCACTGACCAATAACACCGCACAGCTACAGACAAAGATGTTTCAAAATGGAAAATACCAACCACAAAAGAGTATATTTCCACAGTTTAACCTTTTTTCCAAACAGACATAGAGCACCAGTGCCACAACAAAGCTGGTGCAAACTGTGTGGGCCAAATGCCATGGAAAAAGTGTTTTTCTTTTTGTAGATTTAAGAAAGAAGAAAAGTATTTTTTAGAATGACCCCGTCTCTACAAAGTGTGATGTTTGGTTTGACTGTTAACCCACACTACACAAGAAACTGCAACAAACACAGATAACCTATAAAATAATTAGAAGCCCATGAACAAAATTGAAAATACCATACAAATGTTCTGATATGTCATTAAAAAGTTTGTCAAAGTCATTAAAAATATTTAAGAACTCTATCAAAGAAGCTGAACTCTGTGACTAACTTTTAGAATTGGCATACTTGTTGGGAAGTTGAGGAGTACATTGTATATTTGTATATATTACCACATCATCTGTTTTACCTCTTTTAGTGCATAGAGTTTGAATATATAGGTCTGCAATGTGCAAATAAATTATGAAAAAGGACAAAAGGACAAACAATTTAGACAATTGCGCAATGAGCTTGGTTTAAATACCCACGATGTTGAACTTAAACTACTACACTGTTCTAGATTGAAAGTAGTATGAAAAAAAGACTGACTTACTTATATGACTTTTCCCTTTTAGACCATTTGTCCAAAGATAGCAGTTAGTTCAGATATATCCAGTGGGAGCGTAGAAGCAGGACGTCCCGATCCAAGCCTTTTTCCTTTGAGTCCAACGGTCCGTCAGCTGCTTTCTCCAGAACTCTGTGGGCTGATGTAACACGCCCCTGCACACAGAAAGAAGAGAGAGAGAAAGAGAGGGAGGGAAAAGGGGGAGTCAGAGGGAGAGAAAGAGGTGAAGAGCAAGAGAAGGAGAGAGAGAAACCTGCACATTCTGAGGATTCTTGGACTTGTGCCAAAGAGTTCCACATGCCACACATACGGTTTCAATTAGAGCCGAATACAGCCCTCTCCATCACCAAATCTTTTTCCTCCTCAAAAGAGTCTTTCACTGAGGCAACTGCAGATCTGACTAACACTGTGCTATTATCTTTTCAAAAACCTCGGGATCTGAAGTTAAACTACAAAGTTGGCAAGATGGACTAAGATGGAGTTTAGAGTTACCATTCTGGAAACACTGGATGGAGAGATACACATCTACATACTTACATACATGGTGGGGGGAAGTGACTACATACTTGCAAGTAATTTACAATCAGATATACTCTGAATACATAGCCCACTTACTTTACTGAATAAGTAGATGAAAGTAAATGTTAAGTTAAAAGGTGCACCATCTATAAAACTTTTATTGTGGAGGCTTCGCCAACTACTGGTCTTCATGAAAAGGGTATCCCTTTACCCTTGATGTTCCACAGTATGGCATGAAACTTCTATCATGGAGACAAGCAACTAGTGCCACAATGCTACATTACAGTTCAGATAATGATTTTCAGGGTATTTTTGGCAATAAAACCACCTGTAATTAAATGCAAGATAATGCATTTCAGGCAGAGCCGAGTGTGAAGCGGCTGGGATGAAGATCAGCTCCTCCAAATCTGAGGCCATGGTTCTCGACCGGAAAAAGGTGGCTTGCCCTCTCCGGGTGGGTGGAGAGGCCCTGCCCCAAGTGGAGGAGTTCAAGTATCTCGGGGTCTTGTTCACGAGTGAGGGGAGGATGGAGCGTGAGATTGACAGGCGGATCGGTGCAGCTTCAGCAGTGATGCGGTCGCTGTATCGGACCGTTGTGGTGAAGAGGGAGCTGAGCCGAAAGGCAAAGCTCTCGATTTACCAGGTCAGTCTTCGTTCCTACTCTCACCTATGGTCATGAGCTCTGGGTAATGACCGAAAGGACAAGATCGCGGATACAAGCGGCCGAAATGAGTTTCCTCCGCAGGGTGGCTGGGCGCTCCCTTAGAGATAGGGTGAGGAGCTCAGTCACACGGGAGGAGCTCGGAGTAGAGCCGCTGCTCCTTCACGTTGAGAGGAGCCAGTTGAGGTGGCTCGGGCATCTTTTCCGGATGCCTCCTGGACGCCTCCCTCGGGAGGTGTTCTGGGCATGTCCCACTGGGAGGAGACCCCGGGGAAGACCCAGGACACGCTGGAGGGACTATGTTTCTCGGCTGGCCTGGGAACGCCTTGGGGTCCCCCCAGAAGAGCTGGAGGACGTGTGTGTGGAGAGGGAGGTCTGGGAGTCCCTGCTTAGACTGCTGCCTCCGCGACCCGGCTCCGGATAAGCGGAAGAAAATGGAATGGAATGGAAAGACAAGTGGCAGATTTACTACCAGAAATGTATATAATAGACCCTTAAAGATTATAAATAAAGTACATTGAAGGATTTTTAACAGCAAAAAGTTCCCATAGTTATTATATTTATAGTTTTTACAAGATGCATTGCACCTTTTCAGTTAAAGGTACCATCTGCAAGTTTATACATTTTTCTTCTCCATAGATTAGGGTGACCAGATTTTCAAAATTCAAAACTGAGACACACTCAGGTTTGGATGGCTGATGGTTGAAATAAAACTGTGAAAAGAGTATGTAACATTGTCCATTCTCAACTCATTTGTGGGTCATTCATAATCTGAGGGACTTCTGTCGGTACCATTTTCAATTAAAATTTTTTGCGTTTTAACTTAACAAATCATAATCTATCTCCCTCTTTACTGCTGGTGGGTAATAAATTGGTCAAAAATAGGGACAACTGAGGCATTTCTTATATAAAACTGGGACAAATCAGAGATTTTGGAGAAATCTGCTGGGACAGGTGACACAGGGCTCAAAACTGGGATTGTCCCCGGTAAATAGGGACGTCTGGTCACTCTACCATAGATGGCAGATGTGATACATTTTCTCCCCTTACCTGGTATTTGTTCAGGCTCACCGGTGTTCTTTTTTCTTCTTTTTTCAGGCCAAAGCTGGCACATTATCAGACTGCAGATGAGAGAATACAACAGCGGCAGGCCTGCAAATCTAATTACAGATGGTAGCTTTAAGATGTGCGCTTTTCTTCCTTTGTTCTGGACGAAAACTGTAAATAATGGAGACTGTGCAAAAGGCTAGCAAATGTGGCAGAAGACCTTCAGAGGAAATACTCTGAGAGAATGAACCATTTCATCACTGACCGAAATCCCAGAGCGCCATAAGGAGGCCTTTCCTGTTGTGTTCACCTGGTTCTTCCTGGACACTGCTGTGATGTCCAGGCTGCAGGACACAGAGGAGGGACACTTTGGTTCTTCCTCTCCCCACAGGATCTGCTGACCCTACCTGACCAGTCCTCCCATTAAATTGCACTGAGACCTTTAACTCTTTAACTGAGACACAAATGCCACTGAGAAGCGCAGTGTAAATGTTGCTACAGCAAAACCTGAATTTCCCTCGGGATCAATAAAGTATCTCTCTCTAATACATACTGCATGGAAAGTATTATTCTGGTTGTGTCATGCGTGATGCTGTCGCTAAAAGCAAAAGTTAAAGAAGACACAAAGAGCATTTCCTGATATTTCCTGCCTGGCCGTGCGTCTGCTGCATGCTCTGGCCCATCTTAAACATAAACCATGTGCTGGAAAATCTGATTCAGGACACACCGGGGTTTTAATGTAAAAAGCACAACAGAGACACGAGCCAAAAACAGACATTCTTCTACTGCAGCGCTCCGAAAAGCAGACACAAAAGAGACGGAAATCAAGAAAAATATCACGATCACTCACTGATGAAAGTGGATACAGACTGTTCATCATACATAGTACCGGTTAATGATGTTATAGATTAGGGTACATATGGATATAGAAACATGTAATTGAATAAAAGCATGTTATATAAGATTAATGCCACACTGTGGAACATTCTAGGCACAGCAAAAAAATCTGTCTCCCTGGACGACCTTTCACTTGGTCAAAACACATATTATAACCATCAAAAACAGGTCTGATAAAAAGTACATAATTTACAAAAACAACTGCATTGAGGATCAAATGTTTTATTTTTAAGTTTATATAAATCATTACATTTTAAAGCTGAGTCATGTGTGTCCTTCATTATAACCATTAAAGAAGCCGTTATTATAAATACCCCCCAGAGTACCATGTATCAACTCTACATGCCATAAACCACCCTTCAAATTCACATTTCAGTCTAATGGCTATAAAAGATAAAATCACTAGATGGCGCTGCCCACCTATAAAGCAACTAGCAGTACAAAAATAACTTTGTAGGCAAAATAAATAGATGCACCTGAGGAAGTGCCCCATACAACTGGAAGTATGAACATAAAAAGCTGACAAACTTCGGCGAATTTCATTTTGCTCATTCAGATTTGTTCAAAACACATGCATTCGACAGTGTTATTGCACAATTGAGATCACAGTTTGTCCTAATGCATTTATGCATTTTTAAACTCCATTCTTCACCAGCTCATGTACGCCACTCTCGTCAATCATGAGGGTGGGGTGAAACTCTTTCCCCTTCACCAAATCTTCAAGACCCTTCAAACAGAAAATCAAAGTTTAACTGTCAGAGATGGGACAAAAACAAAAGAAAGAAACTACATTTGGATGTAATTAGTAGATGTAAAAATGCATACTGACTAGATCTGAGTCTAGGTCACAATTTAATTTTTTGTCATACTCGTATACTTCATATCATTTAGAGGTGGCTTTATAATGCCTTAATGGTGATAAAAGCCATTGGTTTCTTCTGATAGTTAATCCTTCACTATGACTGGTGTGGAAGAGGGAGCATGGGGGCAGATCCTGAGTATAGAGCTGTATTTCACAGAAAAGTACAGAATGGTAATGTAATTATGCATATTGGCAGCTATGACAGAGTTATTTTAACTGCAGCATATGATTTTATGGACAGAAAATCCTGCGGGCCAATTATGTGTCTGTGTGTGGTTTTGTGTTCTACAGTTTAACAAAAGAAAATAATCTCATATTTAAAAGAACATAGCAATCAACATACATGACTTTTATACTGCATTCCTTGTATAAAATTTGTAAAATCTAAATCCCCTTTTGTGTCTGTACTTTTAACCTCATCACAATTCAAGTGCCCTTACCTCTCCTCCATAGGACACCAGAGGGGAGACCTCACATTTGATTGGCAGGTCAGTGCCATCCTTCAGGCTGTTTTAAAGAGACAAAACCAGAGTGGGTCAGAAAACATATTTGATATTACTGTTGGATGGAAATGGAGTTAAGAAAAATAGCTGTAAAGCCACAGCCGCTTCTGATTAAAGAGACTCCAACTGTGATTAGTCCCGTTCACTAGAAGAAAAGATGAATGACCAGATTCAGGTCACTCGATTTGTTCATTTCTAGATACAAATGATAGAAAATCACAAATGCTAAGTGTGTCAGCTTCTGAATCTGCATAGTGTAATGAATAAGGGTTTGAATTATTGGCATAGATCTTAAAGCAAGCTAGCAAGCATAGAAGATATACAGACAGGTTTTATTTGAATGAATCAAAATATAGCAGAGAAGTTGACAAAATCCAGCAGTTTTGCAAGTAAAATAGTTTTATGCATTTAAGTGCAATCAACCGCTGAAATGTTTGCAACTTCACTACTATATTATAAAAGTAGATGTCTGCACTACCAGCATGCACCATCATCGTCTGAAAGAGAAGGAGCGTTCAACAGGTCATTATAGCTGTACTCCAGGAGAAGTATTTCATCTAAACCATTTTATTTCCTTCATTATAACTGACTGAAAATAAGAAT